CCTCTTCTGTGGACCCCTGCGTGTCTGTGTCTTTCCACCCCTCCCCCCTCCCCTGGCCTTGGCCTTCCCATGCAATGCGACCACCCACAGTGCCCACCCTGCGACACACAACAGCGAGACAGAGACCCGCCCACTCAGCAGCACGGATGCTACACATGCACGTACTGCCAGATGATGAAGCTGCCAAAAGGGCAGCCAGCCAGTGCGAGAACATTGCATGAGCCATTGAATGGCATGCAACCGATGCAAGTCACTGGGTGGGTGCCATCGCTCCCATCTGCGAGTAGGGGGGCGGGAAGGAAGAGAGTAGAGAGGATACAAGCGAGGCGGGCAGTAAAGCAGGCACATACAAGCTTGCATGAGGACAAGCAAGGTCACAGTGAAGAGAGTGAGTAGGAGGTATAGAAAAAACAGCAGCGTGGCGACGTGTGGCGGAAAACGGAGGGGTATGGGCAGCCATAACAGAAGGCTGCGAGTAAGTGGCCACCACGATAACGTCGCCAAGGAAAGACCCGACAAGTAAGTGCCTGAAAAAGACCATTCGAACCAGGAGGGCACACAAACCAGCCAGACAGAACGACCATATGGCGCCCAACCTGTGATGTATACCAAACAAGCGATGGACAGTATGATCCCCAGGCAGCCGCACCACGTATGGCCCCATAGAAGTGAAGCCATCAAACCCACCTGACAACACCCAGCCATCCAAATACGATCCCTACTTGCCCTCGGTCTCTGCCCTTTCTCCTTGTTCTTATCCTTAGGGACGAAAGCATCCTTGGGGACGAAAATAGGGGCCGTTGGCAGGATTCAGATGACTCCAGGTGTGCGGCATGCCTTGCTTGTGGGTGGGCTGGTAGGGTGGCAGGCTGGTAGCCGTCTGCATGGAAGCCAACGATCGGTTGCTCGTAGACCGGGAAAAGATCTCGCCCTCGCGGTCGAGCTCCTCCTGCTGCTCCTCCGAGATTGGCGACAGCACGGGGTGCGACGCGTTGGCACTGTGCGCTGCACGGGGTGGGCAAGAGGGGAGCGGCTGGTCAGGGGGTGAGTAGGAGGGGGGGTAGGGGCATGTGGGCGGGTGAGAAGGTGGGGGCTGCTGATGCGGTCCAGAGAGAGTGGACGACGCCGCCGGCATGGACGCCACAGACGCGCCGGGCGGGAGGAAGGGGACATACGGCATGGGCGGAGCCATGGGCGCCATATATGGCGCTGGCGCCATCGACGTGCCTGGCGCCGAGGACACTGACGGCCCCAATGGCGCGACGGCCATGGGTGGGCCGGCCGGCAGGGGCAGCATCGGCACACTCGCCGGCATGGACGCACTTGACGGGCACATTTGGGCCGGCAGGCTCGCTGCACCCGATGGCGGCTGCGGATACGTCTGCGGATACGTCTGCGGATGCGGCAGAAGGGGTGCCGCCTGCTGTATCGGCCCACTGCGACGTTGGCGTCGGTTGGGCGTCGGTCGAGGGGGGCGAGAGGATGGGGCGGATGGGGGAAAGAGATCAACAGCCTCGTTGAGTGTGTGCACTCTCTCGGTATAATCACGTGCAGACACTCGGGGAACGGCGACCGGGGCAAGGGTGTGCACGTCGTAGGTGGGAGCGGCTGTCGAGATCGCCTCAGCCGAAGGGATCGCTAACGCGGGGCCGACATAGATGTCATCCGCGTTCTGTGTCCGCTCGGCGAGGCGCAGCCCTTGCTTGAGATGGTCGGCGGCCGCCTTCTCACTCGCCAATTGGAATCTCACGCCGTTGTGTAGCCGGAGGCCGTAGCGCATTTCCATGCGGGTGTGCATCTCGCTGGCCAGGTCGCCGTCGTGGAAGTGGAGAATGACGTCGCGCGAACGGCCGCCCACTGCAAAACACGCAAAGCTGCGTGTATCGAATGGGGGGAGGGAGGGGGCGGCGTTGGCCAGTATGCCGCAGATGTGCGCCTTGAGGTGGGCGGGGGGGAGGGGAGGGTCGTTGGGGTGCAGCACATTCTTGATGCGAAGTCGCCCTTGAACCGCCTGGAAGGGAATGTGTGCGAGCTAAGCCGAAGGAACCCTGCTGCCCAAACCCTGAAACCCGAACGGGCCGGAACTTCGGCTGGGATGAGCAGCTGTGCATCGAAGTCAGTTTTTCACTTGTGTTGAGTACAGTAGATGCAGCCGTGCACACAACCGCCACCGTCATGGTAAGCAACGGATTGAAGCCAAGGCGGACATCCTTTTCTGTGTGTGTGCGCTCGATGTCAGTCCGCCACGGCCATCTGCAGCTGCAGCGAGTGGCGCCACCTCCCTCAGCCGGCGCAGTTTCGGCGACTCGCGCTCCTCGCAGTCGCAGAACATCAAGCGCTGCTGCGCCGAGTACAATGCCGCCCGGGCAGAACTCGAGAGCATCCACAACAAACTCAAGTACGTCCGTCCGTCCACGATCGCTACGCTACGCCGCCCAAGAGGCCCGGACCAACACACGCCCTCCCTGTGTCATGTGTCATGTCAGGGCGGCCAGCACACAAGAGGACCGCCAGTCGCTGGACGAGCAGATGGCGGCCTCCCGTGAGCGATTCTCGAGGGCCAAAAGTGCGATGGAGGAGATCCTTCGGGTCATGGAGCAGGCCAAGAGCGGCTTATCGCAGCCTGGACGGACCAGCGAGGGGTGCAAAGACTCACAGCAGGATGGTGCTCCAGCTGCTGCAGCTGGTGGTGTGGCAGCTGCTTCGTCCGCGGCCTTGGCAGCTGAGCCGGTGGCGGGCGGCGAGGACGATGCTGCTGATGGAAGTGGGGGGGCATCGCTGCCTCGACTGAGTGTAGGTGCAGGTGAGCAGGACGCAGGGCGGCAATGGAGAAACGGTTGGGTGGATGGATGGACTGGGTGTGTCTGTGTGTGGGGTTCGGCCTCCATGCCCTGCAGGTTCAGGTTGTGTATCGTGGTGCTCGCTGGGCGATGGGCGTATCGCCTTAGTGTCTGACGGTCTGCATCTGCAGGTGCACCAATGCCGGCGCAGATCATGGGAGCTTATCGCATCGATGAAGGTACATTCATTCGCTGACACGGTGGCGGCCAAGTCAAGTCAGCCCGTTCACTTATTGCCCTCTTGTCTGTCTTGTTCTCTCTCAGCTCCCTTTCGAGACTGCCCCCTCCTCTGTGAGCTGTCATCGGCTGTCACCCCGGCAGATCGTCGTCACATCACCTGCTCACATGGCCGTCTTCACTCTCTCCACCGAACCATCGCCGCCCACACTCTCCCAGGTCTTCTTCGTGCCCCTGTCTTCGCCCGTTCTCGCCCTGACGGTCACTGAGGGGCGGCGGGAGGACGGAGGGCCTCTCCTCGCCACTCTCCATGATCCTGGCAAGGGTGACATGGTGGAGCAGGGGAGGGAGTACACTTGTCGGGTGCAGCTGTGGCATGGCGACGGCAGCCCCTCTAGCACCCTCATGTGAGCAGTGAGCCCACAGATACGATTGAAAGAACCATGCAGCCCTGGATCCTTCACTGCGTGTTCGATGCTCAGCTGCGGCCCTTGGCGTGAGATTGTCCTCGATGGCGACCCCGGCTCCCCGTATGAAGGCACACTGACCTTTCAATCGACATCTGCGTGGCATGAGAGGGCAGAGATTGTCCTGCTGGGGGCGGTGTGGACGAAAGAGCAGGGAAGAACATTCGCATGGTGGGCGAGCATCGTCAATCGATCGAGCCAGCCCCGTTCGTTGTCTTCATGTGAGGGTATGTGTGTGCGCAGGGTCGGTGTGTCGCGAGGAGAGGGAGGGGAGGGAGATGGCCTGTGGGGCGACTGCCACCTAGGGAGAGTCGACAGGTGCACTCCCAAGAAATGACACACACCCAACCTTCAGCAGACGGGCACGTGTCTCTGTTTCTCTCTCTCTCTGTGGCAGGGTCCATTTCCCCCCTTCCACCCCATCCATGAAGAGCCATCAGCCGGCCAGAGCCTCTCAGCCAACATGGGACGGCTGGCCGATGGTCGTGTCCATCCCATCCGATACCACAGACACAGGCACCCCTCCCGCCGTCCGCATCCTCCCGCCGCCCCCCTTCTCCCCCACCCCTTTGTGCCACTACGCCGGCGTCCTTCTGGCCAAGTCCACAGAGGCAACGCACCTGACCTTAGAGGCCCTGATGGTCAGGCGAGTGGCGGAGGGTGCAGGAAGTATGGAGGTGCTGGACGAGAGGATGGTAGTGAGGGGCGGGGGAGAGGGGGGCCGTGTGTTTGGTCGGCTGGTTGATCAGGAGGAGACACAGGGGCCGAAGGAGAGGCCGCAGCAGCAGCAGCAGCAGCAGATGTTCGACCCGGTCACCCTCAGGTCGGCAGAAAGAAGGAGCAGACGATGGGTGGATGGTCATGTATGCGTGTCTGGTCTTCCTTTGGCATCAGGTTTCATAGCTTCGATGTGACGGCTGGTTCGTATGCGCGCTGATGGAGTGGTGGACCCGGGTGCACATGTGTCTTCCATGCGTACCATTGATTGACGTGCAAGGTCTCTAGACTATCATGACGAGGGCGAGGCAAAGTTGCGACAGGCAGCATCGATGCGTCAACGCAGACCTCTGTCCGCCCATCTCTCGACAGACAGACAGACAGACGAACAGCCAGGCAACTCTACAGCATCAGAAATCAGTCAGTCAATCTAGTTCCACGGCCAGCTGGTTGCCGAACAACGCCTGTTCGGCGGCCCCCATCACCTCACGCACTACCTTCACTGTCTGGGGGAATCTGGCTGCTCCCTCCTTGCCGGCCACCCGACGCTCCGTCGTCCAGAGGTAGGCATCGGCAAAGCCGGGGGTGCTGTAGATGTACAGGTGGGCCTCGAATGTGTGCGAGGGCTGGTCGCCCTGCAGCACCATCATGCGCCGGAAGACTGCTTCTCCTGCCCAGTGGCTGGTGCTGATGGTGTGGCAGCCCCAGATGGGCGGCGGCTGAGTGGCGAGCGAATGCTGAAGAGAAATAGAGATATACAAATGGGGGCAGCTGGTGAGGCAATCGGGTTGTGTGTGTGACTGACCAGTCGGTCATAGCGTGGGGCATCGACGAGCCGGTTGACATACTGGCCCGCGACCCGCGACCCTCCAGAACGCATCCTGGTCAGACACATCATGGCAGAGCGGTGCAGCCAATGTGTTCATGTGTATCATTCTGCTCATATCTCTCACTGATACAACACAGCGTCGCGGACTGAAGCAAACGCGTACGCTGCAAACAGACATACACACGCAACCAAAAATGGTCCCCCTCCTATTGCTCTGCCTTCTCTTGCTCACCGTCAATCTCACACACGGGGCTGGCCTCGTCGTATCCATCGCGAAAGGGGTGGTCGGCCGGCAGTGTCTGCAGGGGGCGGACGGTCAGCCGAGACCCGCCCAGCCGCTCCTCGCCATTGACGCGCTGCAGCGTCACACCGAGGTGGCGGCCGATCAGCGAGAGCTGCCGCAGCGCCTCACACCGCCCGTCGTAGACCTCCTGGCTGCCCACCGCCTCCACAGCTCTATCGGCAACCGCCCCTCTCCCCGCCGCTGATGCTTCGCCACCCTGACGAGGGCCACCGTCGCCGCCCAGTCGCCGCTCTGCTGGACGATGTGCAGGAATCGCAGCGAATGCCCGACGGATGCCAGGTTGGAGCTGATGATGTCCTGGATGCTCTTGTCGACGAGCTGTGCATCGATCTCCATCTTGACATAGGCCTCCGACACGCGCTGGCTGCCGAGTGTGGATGTGCGGCGGAGGCGGGCGAGGCCGCCGGGGCCCAGCAGAGCGAAGAAGACGTCACGCTCGACGTCCGGTAGCAGGTCGAACAGGCCAACGTGCTGGCCGGCCTGAAGTGAAAGGCGGCAGATTGAAAGGTGTGCGTGTCACCTGTGTGGCTGTGTGTGTATGTACCGTGTTGCCGTTGGACTGATCTCGAGGCGCCCTCTCAACTAATGTGAAGCCCTCATGCGTCTGCATCCACCACAATAGACACACACACACACGCAAGATGGATCCCTCAGCAGCTACCGGACCAGTGGGCACATGAGAATGCCTACCTGTTGGCCGTGCGGCAATGCCTTGGCCTGGTGCGGCACCACCACAGCGAACACCTCTGTCCCCTCTACCTCCCTCATCGACACCCTGGTCGCCAAGCCGGTCTCCTCAGTGCGATAGACGTCGGCCTTGACGTACACCTGTTTGCCCTTCTCCCGATTGGCCGTAACCATCCACACACGCGTGCCGGTCTTGTAGCGCTCGTGGGACGACGGCAGCATCTGATGGTTGGATGGATGAAACCAACAAACCAATCAACCAGGTGAACAAGTGAATGGGCTACTCGTACCTGTGGATGCGGCAGGTCTGCGGCAGCAGATGAAGATGATGCTGCAGCCGTCATGCCGCCGCGCTGGCCAAACACAACTGCAAACAGGAGTGCAGAGGCGTACAGTGCATCCCATCTTCCGGCCGTGCTTCATCTCATCTCAATGCTCACCGACTGGTTCAGGCTCTCAGTTGAGGCTTTTCATCATCGCCAAGCACTCACAGTGAAGCAGTGGGCGCCAAACAAGCTGTGCAATGAGGCTATTCACTCATCCATTTCCCAGCGGTCGACTCATAGCTCGCACAGATCTGCAGACTTTCTCCACACACGCAACGGTGAGCTACAGAGAGGCAGAGGGTCCGCCACATACCGAAGAAAATGAAAGATATGTGTGTCTTCGTGTTTGCAGAAACTTCCCTGCGAGTCCCGTGAGGTGTCATGCGTGTTCACCTGACCGTCACTATTGTGTTTCTCTGTGCGCTGATGGGCGTGGCAGTCACTGGTAACCCATTAAGAAGGACAGGCCTGCTTCCATGTTACGGTGTATGTTGTGGTGTTGCGTTGGTCTGTGGAGGGGAGTCACCTGGCGAGCAAGTCGCTGCTGCTGCTGCCGCTGGCGATGGACAGACCAAGCAGACCAAGCAGCACGGTGTGCACTGACGCAGATGTGGCACTCCTGTCTCTCTTCACACAGACATTGCACCCCTGGTTGATGTGTGTCTGCATCTCTTTGTCAGGTGGTTCCCTCCGCGGAGGCAGAGCGGCAGAGCCTGACGAAGCCACTTCAAGTGGGTCATCATATCAACAGACGAGCATGACAGATAAACCAAAGCAGTGCCCATGTCTGTCTGCCCACAGGCAGGGATCTCGAAATGGGACCTGCTCAACCTGTCGAACCCGGGCCTCCTAACGGCAACGAGCCAGACCCCCCCGATGATGATTACGATGATGACGACCGACGATAGCCGTGAGGGCACCTTCTCTCTCTCTTACTTTTTTTTCTTCTTTTTTCTGCTGCTTCTTCTTCTCTCTTTTACTTTTTGACTCGCCTGTCGGTGTCAAAAACACACCCACCATACCCACACACACGCACGCACGCACGCACGCGGAGAGAGAGAGCGAGAGAGAGAGATGCGGGAGCCTCGTGATTTGCTGCGTTTGCCGGGCGGTTTCGGCTTCTGACCTGACTGAACCCTGACTGGCCATGGAGCAGTCAATTTTTGTATGGACTGTTCACTTTTTGTATGGACTTACGCACCCCCAACACAGACAGGGAGAGAGAGAGTGAGAGAGGGCGGGAGCTCCATACACTTTCATGTTCCCTCAGCTCAGACGTGTGTAGTTGTCTTGCTGGCCGCATACATTCGATTGCTTGGGGTGTTCGTCTGTCACTGACCAGCTCACACGCCGCTCGTGATGTGGCGTGGGGCGTGGCCGGCACAAACAGCCGACAGATGATGGTTATTTCGCTAGAAGCGTCGTAGTCGACGTGTGTTACTGTAGCTGAGTCAATTTCCATGCGCACCCACCGGGGTTTTCATGCAATGAGTGAGGGCGCATTCCTTGTGTGTCTGTCGGTCGAGGGCAAGCACCCGGTCACCCGAACGCCTTCGGTGCATACAGTCATTTATTTGCATGGTAGGGTAGAGAGAGGAAGCAGACCAAAGTGGGAGTCGGTGCGTTGGCTATGTCTGTATGCGGCATGAGTGGTTGGTTACCTTGGTGTGTCGATGGTTGGATGAGAGGTGGATGCACTGATTGATGGCACGGCCGCCGTATTGGCGAGCCCACTTTTATGATACACAATACAGTACATGTCTGCATTCAATTGACTGGATGCAGTCGATTGCTTGGGGTGCTTGTTTGTTGTGTCGAGCAACGCCCACGTCGAGTCATGGACGAGGGATACCGCCCGTGATGTGGCGTGGGACGTGGCCAACACAACAGACAAACACACCCGCGGCGATCGACCAGTGATGATGACAATGGACGGCAGTTGACATTTCATGCGATCGCATGCGTTCATGGACCATCACACCGTTGATTTCAATACACGCAGTCTGTACAGACAGCTTGCAAGGGCACATACACACCCACTCACGGACGCGCACACACTCGGATGAGTACGAGCGAGGACTTTGGATGTCCTCTCTGCTTTGTGTCGCTTGTCCGGTCTTCTTTGCTGTCTGTCCCTTCCTTCCCGCCATTTGGCAAAAGGCGTCCCGCCATTTGGCAAAAGGCGGTTGAGAAGAGGAACAGGAGCAGCGAAGAAGAACGAACCAGACGAACACCAGCAGTGTGCACGCGCATCACACTATCGACAAAACACAAGACGCTGTCTGTCTGTCTGTCTGTCTCTCTGTCTCTCTGTCTCACTTGGCCACTAGCTGCATCTCAAGATAGTAGTTCGAGTGTCCGACGCAACTTTCCAAACGCTCTGCTTTCGCCTCTGTGATACTATAGTACGCCATGACCGTGAGGTAGCACTCCAGTGCAAAGGACCGAAGGTGGCGCAGAATCAAGGCCTCACTGTCACCCTCCAATTCCTTGAGAGACAGTAATGCCGAGAAGCCCACCCTCGCTGGCCTGACTGTTGAGACGAGCTTCATGAATGACAGCACATCTGCCTTGCCGCGTAGAGTTGGGCCAGGCGGCACGGCCATGGGCTGTTCCATCATGCGCTCGCGATGTATGGGTATGTGCATGTGGTGGATGTGGGGGCAGCGAAGCTCCCACCCAGCGATGGTCTGCGCGTCGGCAGGCCAGTCACCAGATTGGAGCTCGACACTGACGCATCTGTCGCTATCACGAACCTCATCCAACTCACTAACAGAGAGATACGACAAGAGCTCACAGCGAGCAGCTAGGCAAGACACGCCATGGAAGTCTACACGCTTGACTGCCGCCAGCCCACCCAACAACAAGCTGAGCTTGTTGGGTGCCGCGGGCAGGTCAGCAAAGGTGAGCAGTTGACCCACCACCTCCAACCGCTCGACAGTCGGGAAGCACCGGCTCGCCGCCGTCTGCCCCCCGCCCTCCCTCTCGGTCAGCCATGTGGGGATGCTGTCCAGCACGCCCGGCCCTCGTGCACCACCATTGGAGCTGAGTGCGAGTGTCTTGGCCTTGGGGAAGACGAGCTTGTCACGCCACGACTCGTCCAGGGGCGCCGTCCCGCCGAACTGCAACTCAACCTGACACACATGAAGGCAGACACACATAGTCGACCACCTCTAATGGTCCCTCCCTCCCTCCCTCCTGGTACTGCCTTTTTGTTCCTTACCCGTCTTGCCTTGGCCGTCAGCTGTCGGGCGATATCTCCATACAGGCCGTCGCGCGCACGCGGGGCGTCCGCAGCCCCGCTGCTGCAGTCCACCGTCAGCATGTCGCGCGACGACCGCCACTCGAGCTTGCAGCTCACCCCCGCGGCCCACTCGCCGATGGGCTCTGCGTCGGCACCACCGCCCTGCGCGTACTGCACACCGATTGTCGACTCCGACACGACGAACCCCAGCTTCTTGCGCACATCTGCGTACGCAAAGCAGAGAGGATGAGCAGAACAAGTGGTGGTGGTGGTACCCACTTCTCTCAGCCGAGCCACCTTTGCGCTCTGGTTTGGTCCAGTGTTGGTCGAGGGCGTTTTTGAGCTCATTGATGCGGCCGAAGTGGTCCATCTTGATGTCGATGCCGGTGATGGTGGTGATGTTGGGGCACTTGGCGAGGACGGCGGTGAACGCACTCCAACGCTGCGCGGCAGTGGACGCACTCCAGTGGTCGCTGACTCTGATTTGGTCGCCCTCCAGCCGCTCGATCTTGGGTGACCTCTCGATGAGGTGCGTGAGGCACTCCAACGACCCTATCGTACTGCGAGGTACTGCCGACTCGAAGACTCGTCAGAGCAGGCACAGACCAGCGACGCTTGCTGCAGATGAGCAAGCAACACAAGCAACGCGACGTCGGCCCGTCTACCCTTTCCTCGTCTAGGTGTCGTGCGTGTCAAACATGCCTCATGTAGCGGAGCCACAGACTGGATTTGACGTCCAGTTCTTTGAGTTTGGGGAAATCGATGGGCACACCTGGCGCGCGCGCATTGGTGGAAGCTGAAGGGTGCGATGTGTCTGGGACGTGCAGCTGAGTGAGTGTGCTTCTGGACGCCTCGAGGCACTCGGCCACACACGGCACGACGGTCGGGGCATCCACGTAGGCCGTCCGGATCTTGCCCTGCACACACATCAGTGGACATGCATACGTCACAAACTGGCCACGCCCATCTTTCTCACCAGATGCTTCATTTGCTCCAGCTTCTTTATCTTTTCGTAGTTGCTTGTCTCGTCAGCTGTCATGGCGAAATATCGGAACAGGCCGAAGGTCTCGTCGGTGGCCTTCTGGTGGGTCTCCCTGTTGACGCGTGTCAGGCGAGTTGCTGTCATTGTGGTCATGAGCGAGCCCATGTGGCCCATGACGCCCTCGGGCAGACCCGGCAGACACGGACGGCCGTAATCCTGACACACACAAGACAGAAAAGCAATGTCTGAACTGGAGATGATCTTATTCTGTCTGTGTGTTACCCGTGCGCTGTCCCTCTGTTGCTGTGTCGCTGCAGCACCAAATACGCCAATCGAACCACCTGATGGATATAGACAGTGTCAGACACAAACGGTGGGCCCATTATCGTGATGTTTTCGGTCTTTCGATGTGTGGGCGGTGTTATGTGTACCTCCACTACTCGCGGCAGCAGCGGCAGCCGGGCTGGCGGCCAAGCGTGAGCGCTTCCCATCGCCAACAGATACCTGGACATTGATCCAAACGAGTTTGTGTGTCCGTCTGTGTGTGTCCGTCTGTGTGTGTGTCTGTGGGGTGTGCATACCGCCTTGGTGTGCTGTGCCGTCTTGTCGGTCTCGCCCGAGCTCTCAGACACGCCGGGGGACGGTCGTGGACATTGTACAGCCATCGGAACATCTTGCCGTCACCATCCTTGCGCTGAGATCCACACAATGCGCAGAGAGAAATCGGCTTGTGTGTGCCATTGACTTGCCATTCCAGCCCTACACGGATGCTGCGGACGCTTGGCATCTGCGCCAGCTCGTTGCTGAGAGTCGAGTCAAATTCGGTGAGAGGTTTCAGCAGATCGTATAGTCGGCCGGTCAGCGACGCATTGGCCTGCAAGAAGAGAGAATCACATACACATGAAATCGTGCTGGCGCATGGAATTGATCACACACGACACGTGCCGCTCTCTTGCGACCTCTGTGTTCTTGTTGCCGTCTGGTATTCTCTGCTTCGCCTCCTCAGTACGCGAGGCCATCTGAGATGCGATCTGGACAGCAGCAGAGCCGACCACGTTGCAGCCTGCGGGCATGGCTCTTCCCCATCCCCTCCCTCCTTCGCTCACCAAATGGATCTTATCTAGGGCATCACGCAGGCTACCATCGCCATCTGCCCCGCCGCCCCGCCCACCTGCAGACACGAACAGCAAGGGCACAGAACATCAGCCGTGTAGTGGTGTTCTCACCTTTGGGTGCAGCCGGGCCGCTATCGCTCGTGTCCATCGGGGCACGGTCAACCATCTGCAGAAGCCAACAGACGACGGGATGGATGGATGGATGGATGCGTGGATGGATTGGGTGGATGAAGTCAGCTCCGCGAGTCGGCTTACTGCTCAGGTGATTCTTCGCATCCACGCAGCCAGTGCCGACATCTGGAACCGCCGCGAAGTCGCTCCGCAAAACCCAACTCAAACCCGTCGAGACTTTCTCCCTTGAGTTCCAAAATGCCTCCCGCGTCACAGGGCGACAGGGACGGAGCACGACCCAAGACCTATCCTCCCAAGAAGGCATCGCGCTCGAGTTTTATGCGGTTCCTCCGAAAAGCCAAGAGTGCCGCGACCCCATCAACAGCAGACGAAGACCGCACGGCTGATGGGCTATCTGTCTTCCACGAGCCTCAGCAGCCTCAGCCTGACAGCATCAAGAGTCCTCAACACGATGAAGGCTCTCAAAGAGAAACGGGGACCGAGGACTTGGGAAGAAACGATGCGTGCGGGCGAAAGGAGCCGAGCGAGAGGCCCCAAGAGAAGAGAATCAGCAGAAGCCACGCATGGACTGACCCCACCAGCCCCCGAACTGACTATATTCTTCGTTTACTGAGGAAGAGCCTTACTGTGGCCCCATTGCCTCTGGAATTCGATGAGTTGGAGGAATCATCAGCGCCTGTCGACAGGACGAGACGGCAGCTTGAGGAATCTGCGCGACAGCGGTTCCTCTCGGGTCTGCTGTCGTCGTTCATCACCCGCTCTTCGTCCAACGTTGTGGTGGATCATCTAGAGCAGCATCTGCAGATGCTGGACAGGGAGAGCGAGGCCGACGCCGTGAGGCTGTCTGTAGTGAGCGACAAGTCCATCGAATGGGAGACGACGCGCAAGAAGGCCATTCGATTCCTCGGCCGTTCCGAGAGTCTTATAAGGCGCGTCCCGTTCCGCTCCGTCATCACGACGAGCAATTTCATCACGTGGACCCTCTACCTCGTGATCTTCTTCCTCTGTATGCTGCATCTCTTTGCGGAGTTTCTGGTCGCCAGGCTGCCACCCGTCCATAACGGTGGTTCCAGAGTTTTCTCCTCGGTGAGACATATGAGAGAGAGAACACCAGTTGCAACAACAAGTTCGTTTATTGGTGTCTTTGGATCTCCTTACCATTCATCAATCAGATGCAGGAATTTGTTGCCTTTACGGACGCCTCTCGGCCTGGCAACTGGGGCTTCGACACGACGGCCGAGTGAGCAAGCATTCACAGAGAGACCGAGAAGATCCTTGTGTTGAGATACGCGTATGTTCGTAGGAAAGGCATGTACGCCGCTTTGTGGCTGTGTCTGAGTGTGCCTTGCATTCTTATTGTCGTGCACCACTCCATCTTCTTCCGCTCGATGATCCGATCGTGGACAGACAACAGACTGCGCCTGTCTCTCGGCTCCATCCGATGCGCCGTTCTCACGCAGCAGCGCCGTCGCAGCTCGGTGTCAATCACGACTGGCCCTCGATCTTCTGTGTCGAATACGAGCGTCATCTTCGAGCGCTGTGACTCGACGCTGAGGGATGACAATCACGAGGGGTGGCGGATTCGGGTCCTGCAGTTTTACTGGGATTGCAGAGTCCAGGTGTGGCAGCTGTTCGGGCTCTCGGGTGCGTTCTTCTGGCTAATGCACTTCTGCGGTGAGCCGATGGATGGATGTGATGTCTCATTGCTGCGGGTGGTGTCATATCTTTCTACATTTGTCTGTGCAGATGAGACGTTGGACATGTGTCTTCAGCTGTATACGTGTTTGAGACTGGGAGGCATAGATCTACTCAAGACACACGTGTGTACACGCGCATACACACACAGAGCCACTTTCCACGTTCCATGGTCGTCTGCCCCTTACCGGCTGTGTGGTTGGGTGCAGGATGTGCCAGCGTGGCCCTGGCACGGGGTCTTCGCGCTGTCCGTGTTGATGGGCGTCCACATCATTCTCCTCAATCTTGTTCACGTCACCAAGAAGAGAGGCTGGGCCATCCTGTCATCGCTAGGTAGGCACCCACCGCCGCCCAACGCCCGACAATAGTGTCTCTGCCTATCCATGTGTTCACACAGGCATCAACTTGATGTACTCGTTCCATCTGATCATTTCGTCTTCGCTGGGCAACTCTGACGCCGGCAACAGGAAGCCATCGATGGTACGAACAATAAAGCAGAGACAGCTCCAATACAATTATGTCGCGTCTTTTCTGCGTGACCGCCAACTTACAGGGCATGTTCGTCTCACTCCGATCGGAGAACTGGGTGCGTACACAACAGAAGCGCTCCTTCGACTGTGGTCGAATGGCTACTCCTCCTGTGTCAATTGCAGGTTCAGTTCCTATCAGCCTTCGTCCCTCTTTGTTTGGCCATGTTTCAACTCCGGGCCATTGATGCCCTTCTGATCCTCAAACGATTCACTGACTGGTACCCAAGCACTCCATTGATACACACGACCATCCATTTGCGGATCGCGCCGTGTTGTGCAGGAAACACACACAGACGAAGACGACGCGCCACAGGGCCCGCCAGTACCGGCCGTCGACAGACGGCAGTTTCATGGTTGACAAGGCGTCGGTGCCGCGCTCAGGAGTTGTGGCGACTGACGAAGTCCACGTCACAATACGGGACAAGACGGAACACACACACCCGGCAGGTGCTCGCTCGTCAATCGGCATCACAGGTACGAGCAGAGCGACCAGTACAAGTGCGACAACACACGACACACGACAGGTGTCGGTCGGTGTGCAGACCTGTTCGGCCCCTTACGAGCGGCCAACAGGATGCACAGACTGGAGCGGTGGCTCATCTTGCCTCTGAGGCTGCTGCTGTTGGGCTTTTTCTGGGGCTTTGTCGTCCTCCACCTTGTGCAGCGCATCAGGGCACCCCATGTGTGCCCGGAGCGGGTCGAGGGCTGGCGCTTCTGCGCCTTCCCGACACACCCTGTCTTCGGGACGACTGTGCACCCCTTCTGGCCCTGCAACTGCAGGTACTACGGCGCCTCGACAGAGGTCACCCTGACTGACGAGACAGCCGCGAGGACCTTCATCCACTCACTAGATGACTTCACGGCCCTCGAGGCGGTCGTCTTTGGCTTCATCGAGCCCAAGAGCTTCATGTACGAGCGTGGAGAGGGTCACTATCGGGGTTTTCGAGCCAACGTGAGCGAGACTCTTCCCCGCGGCGCCTTCAAGCAGCCTTACATGCGCTTCTGGTGGTCAAACGCCGCTCACATCACGTAGGCCACACGAACCGCACAGTCAGACAAAGCAAAGCGTCGCCGCTACCGCAATTGGTGTCATTCCGTACGTCAGGAGCATCCCGTCTGGTTTTGCTGATCTGCCGCTGCTCGAGTATGTGTCATTTGCGCTGACTCGTGTGGGGGAGATCCCCAATTCGTTCTGCGATATGAAGCAGCTCCGGACGCTGCACCTCGGGTCGTCGTTCGTTGAGTCCCTCCCGCCGTGGTGAGTGAGCTTCCGCTGTGCCCATGTCTCCTCTCTAGCGTTGTCTTGTTTGTGTGCAGCCTTGGCCACCTGCGCGGCCACCTGTAAGGACACAACCGAGGCAGTCACATCTAAGCATGACTCTGTTCTGTCTCGATTTGTTGATTGAATATAGCAAGACGTTTCGGCTGCAGTCAACTCCACTGTGTGAGTGGATGATGTGGGCTGGCAGGAGTTCTCGCTGTTGGTGATGTCGTTCGTTCGTTCGTCGTCTTTTTCCTCTTGGTGCAGGTGCCCGTCTGAGTGCCGACCCCGACTACCCCATACTCGGAGATCCCTCACTCACGCCCTCCAGCTCACTCATGGTCCGTTCACACAGAACCGTGCAGCTACACATTCCAACGCAGCTTAGCCTTTTGCCTGGATTCGTTCAGGCCCTGCTCCAAGAGTTGGATCCCTGCAGCCTGAACCAGCAGGCTGAGAGAGAGGCAGCAGGTATCTCCGTCTCGACCAGCACCAGCAGCAGTGGCAGGAAGCGGCCTCCTCGCTCGTATCCTTTGTCGAGCGAGTGCCTGGTGCCCGAGTGCCGGCGGTGGTACGGCTTCATGACAGAGACGGGACTCGACAGCGATGGGGACCACATGATATGCTTCGACGAAATGAAGGCTTCCCACCATTGGTGTAAGTGCAAGCCGACCTAAGCCGTCTGGGTGCGTGGGCATGTGTGTCTCTGTGTGTGTGTCAGATACGTATGACGATTATGCGAATGAGCTCTGGCGGATGGAGGGGAAGACTGACCCTGACAACGAGTGCTTCGTGTACACGACCTTCCTACGGAAGGCCAACGGCGAAAAAAGCGACTGTGCTAACTGTAAGCGAGAGCGAGAGGGAGCGAGAGAGAGAGCGGGACACACGCTGCCCTCGGTCTCTATGTGTGTGTGTGTGTGTGTGTGTGTGCAGGTCCGTGGCTGCCAAGGTGGGCGATTTGAGGGGCCGAAGTGAGCTTGGGATGATATTGGCCAATGACGACTGGAGACAGAGCTGAGAGAGCTCCGCTGACCGATGTGTCTGTCTACATGGGGGCTACGCTGCGTATGGTGGAGTGTCTGTCACCTGTGTCTTGTGTTGTTTGTTCAAGCTGTCTTTCATTCTTCGTCTCCATTTATCGCATATGTGTGGGTGGGTTGTGGTCTGCCATCGCAGCAGCTGTGTTGGTAGTTGTCGTTGTGCGTGTGTGGCTGTTGAGACGTGACCATCTGACCATCTGACCATCCATCCATCCATCCAGCCATCCATCCAGCCATCCCTCATTTAGTGCACAATGTGCCTTTCCTTGACGTGTGTGAGTCTGTCCGTTCCTTGAAACGCCATCGACTGTGTCCGCCCACTCCATCCCTCTCTCCCCCCGTCAGTCGGTCAGCCAGCCGGTGTCCACTTCACTCACTACCAGAAATCAACAAATCAACCGTCCACTCGATCACAGCAGGCAGTCGGGACGTACGTGAGCAGCCATCCATCCACAGCCATCAGCCAGCCATGCAGTAGCGAGACAGCCTCTACAGCGGACAGCCAGCCAGCCAGCCAGCCAGCCAGATGGATCTTACATCCTCCTCGTGTATCTATCGTCTGCAGCCACCTCCCCCCACACCCTTCCCCTCTGCTGAACCGTCTGTCTGTCTGTCTGTCTGGTGGTGGCTTGAGGGGTAGGAGGCCCTAGGGGGTGGGAGGTGGGAGGGGCCACGAGGGACCGACCGGACCATTGACACACTCTCACACAACATCCATCCATCCATCCATTCATTCGAACGAGGAGCAGCCAGCCATAAGGTACACACACACGCATGCAAGAAAACGCAAATAACGAACAAACAGACAAAAAAGAACCGCCATGGTGACCACCACCCCCCGCAGCACCCCACCAGTGAGTGCCCCTACCAACACACGACCAACCAGCATGGTTCGAAGCTGTGCCTGGTCGTCTGTCTACTGGTTGGGCGGCTGTTGCTGCTGCTGGTGTTGCTGGTGCTGCTGGTGTGGGTGTGGGTGAGGGTGCTGCTGTGGCGGTGTGTGTGCCATGGGCGGGGGCTGCTGGATGCCCTGCTGCTGCTGCATGGCCTGATGCAGGGCTGGGTGCTGGTGTAGGTCCTTGACCAACACATACTTGCCGGTGGCGGGGTCGGTCACCACGTGCTGCTGCTTCTTGACCAGGTTGACGAACTTGTCCTTCAAATCAACGTACGTGCGGGTCGACAGGAACTCATATGCCTGTTGGCAACACATCAACACATCCATCCACAAGGATGAGCAGAGAGGGAGGGAGGGAGGGAAAGGGGCAACTTACGCCGAGTATCTTGCGCCAGTTGCCAGCACCGAAACGATTCAGACCCTCTATCAAGTTTCGGACCTGCACACACACACACACACACACACAAGGCACACCATCCACGCAGCCCGTCTGTGTATGTGTGTGGTGTGTCTGTGTCTGTGTGAGGCGTACCTCCCAGTCTGTCCACATCTGCCGCTGGCGTCGCTGGGTCTGCTCCTTCTGCGGCCGCGGCGGACGGATGGGCGAACCACCCGGACGCACACCAGACGCCGGCGCGGGGGCCAAACCTGAGAAGAAGGAAAGGAAAACAAGAGACCACAACACACACACACAAGGGTGTGGCTGATGGTGTTGTGTTGTGTTCCCTCCCCTCCCCTCCCCTCCCTCTCGCCGCACCTGGCACCCCCGGCAGGCCCGGGTGCATATGCATCTGCATACCGCTGAGGGCGTAGTGGTGCTGCATCTGCATCTGCATGGGCATCTGCATCTGCATGGCCACCCCCATGTGCTGGGGGTGCTGCTGCTGCATGGCCGCCGCCGCCTGCTGGTGGGTGTAGTGCGGGGCAACCACGTGGCCCAGCTGCTGCTGCTGCTGCTGTAGGTGCGCCGCCTGCATCCCGTGTGCCAGACGGCTTGCGCCCATCAGGTCGTCCTCGCCAGGCCCGGGAGTGCTCTCATACCAACTGACCCAGCAGACACATGCGAACGAGACGACGTGTGAGGTGTGGCGAGGGCATGTGTGTGTGTGTGTGTGTATGAGTGTGTGTGTCTTCCGTACCGCGCCTGCCGGCCCTGCGAGTCAGGCTCCAGTAGCGATTTCTTGTACGGGAAACGACGCACACGCACCTGCCAACACACCCACATCACCTCAAATCAACCATGTGGGTCGAGCGCCTCTCTCTCCCTCTCTCTCTGTGTGTGTGTGTGTGCAGGTACACTGAGATCCTCGTTAGGGTCATATTCCTCCTCATCCTCATCATGCCCACGCCGACGCTTCCCACCACTGCCCCCCACACCCGCAGCAGCGGCTGCTGCTGCAGCCGCTGACCAACCAACACACACATACAAACAGAGCGACACACATACACAGGGACACGTGTGAAATATTCACTCTCTGTACCTGAAGCTGCAGCAGCAGCAGCAGCGGCAGCAGCAGGAGCTGCGGCCTTGGTCTTGGGTGCGACGGGCTGTGGGTGCAGGGCGGGGTGGTGCAAGAAGGCCGGCATGGCGCCTGAAGCACCGGCCATGCCCATGCCCATACCCATGCCCATGCCGCCGCCACCACGCGGCAGGGCCTCACGCATCTTCTCCAGGATGTTCCGGACGCCGTCACGCTCAGCGACGCTGACACACACACACACACACACAGAGAGGGGTGAGGGAGAGAGGTGGTTGGTCGCTCACTTGTAGACCGCCCGGGCCTCCTTCTCGTCAACTGCATTGAGGCCGAAGAGGTTAGACACAGAGAGAGCAAATGAGAGGCCAGCCTGCCTGTGTGGAAAAGGACTCGGGGCGGGGGGGAGGGAGGTCACTCACCTTTGTCTTTGAGCTCGGGTCGTTTGCAGTCGAGTGCTAGGAAGAAGGGCTCCGCGTGGATCTTCTGCTTCGGCTTCTTCTTGGACAGCCGGTCGCGCAACACGTCAGGACTACGACCCCCTGCACCGCCACCACCGCCCCCGCCGCCATACTGACACCACACACACACACACACACAAAAACAGAGGCAGATGACGAGAGTTGCTGGCTCGGCTCGGCTCGGCCCGGCTCGGTTTACCTGTCCCTCCTCGCCCTCTCCCTCTCCTTCGCCCCCCTCCTGGAAACCCTCGCCACCAACGCCACCAGCACCACCACCACGGATGCCCAGGCCCCCTCCCGCCCCCCTGGAGCCCTTCTGCTTCTGCTTCTTGGCACCGCCCGCGGCTTCCTTCTCGCCACCGCCGCCGTGCATCATCTGCTGGAACTGCAGCTGTGCGTGTGGGTGTGGGTGTCCGGGCTGGTAGGCGTAGGGGTAGGGGTAGGGTGGCGGGGAGGGGTCTGGGTCGTTGAGTGGCAGGCCGGCGCCGCCACCGTTCTGCTGCTGGTGCTGCTGGTGCTGCTGGTGCTGCTGGTGGTGGAGGCTCTTGCGACGGCGGTCGACCTCTGCTGAGATGGCCTGCGCCACGCCCTGACAGACAAGCAGAGAGAGAGAGAGAGGGAGAGATCACACAGACACATGATGGTGTGCGTGTGTGTGGAAAGGGAGATGGGTGTCGGTTACGTCGTAGTGGCCGTCGTTGAACACCTGCAGGACAGGCAGCAGAGGTGGAGCGTATGGTGTGTGTGGGTATGGGTGTGTGTGGGCATGGGTGTGAGTGTGTGTGGGTGGCGACGTACTTTGCCGAGTGGCGATTCGATACGCTGATTCAACGTCTGCAGGAAGGCGCGGCACGCCTCGCGCCACATCTGACACACACACAGACAGGGAGAGGGAGAGGGAGAGGGAGAGGAAGTGGCATCTTGTGCGCCATCCAAGTGTGTGTGCCCACCTGTTCGCATTCGACGTAGGTGTGGTTGACCTGCTCCTGATGCTGCACCGCGTCGACGCCGTTGGGAGGCACCAGAACAGACAGCCGCTTATACCTGCAGCCACCCACACATCCCCCAACACACACACACACACACACACACACAATTGTGGTCAACACGACTGGCGTCACACGTGTGTTCCCTCGCTGACCATTCGTCCCTCTCGGCCTGGTCGTCGAAGGTGCGCTGGATGCTGGCCTTGAGGTCCTTGTCAGTCAGCTTGCCGGTCGTCGCGCCCTCCGCAAACTCCTGCAACATTCCCTGCACCACACACAGCCTTTTTCAGGCACCACACCGTGCCATCACACCTTCCCCGAGACCAAAACCCACCCACCACACTGCAAAGACGTACCACCATCTTATAGCACCCCAAGAAGGGCTTGTACGTGTCTCCCATCCCGGGCTTGCCCGCCACGTGTTTGGCGAGCATCTGCGCCAGCTGCACCTTCTCTCCCATGGTCCCCCTGCCCCAGAGACACAAGACACATCACACACACACCCAGCCACAGGGTAAGGGTATGGGTATGGGTATGGAGCCCTGTGGGTGTGGGTAAGGGTTTGGCATGCAAGGAAATCGGTCGTCGCTCACTCTGAGTCAGGCGCCAGCTTGTAGAGCACCCATCGGTTCTCCAGCGCCCCAGCCGTCACGCTGCCGTGCATCAGCTCATGAGGCGAACCTGCATGCCGTCAAAACACCGTCACACACATCCCGCCCTCCCCCCTCTGTCCCTCTCACTGGCAATGATGCTCTCGGCCACTTTGCGGTCTTCCGACAGCTCGTTGCCGTACGCACCGACGTAGAACGAGTCCTCCTTGAGCACCTCGTTCAACGCCCACTCGAGCAGCGCCGTGGCTGGCGGGCTCAGCTGGCTCGCCGCACTGCTCTTGGCCTTCTCGCCCTCCTGCTGGCCTCTCGCGGTGTCGATGCGCGCTCCTTCCAACTCCATTCGATCCAACTCGCGAAACTTAGACAATTGACGACAAAGCACGCCTCACGTGGTCATGCTGAGGGCGCACACACGCGCCTCGGTGGCTGCGGTGGTCCTCGTGCCGGCACTAACAGCTCGCAACAGTTGCAAGCTTTCGTAGATCTGACAGCCTTTGGAGGAGAGGTCGGTGAGCGCTTCACGGCTGGCTGAGAAGCACTGACCGATGGACAGCTTTCAGGCTCCACCGGGGATGACCATCTCCCACCCATCTCCTCCCGAGGTGGAGGCCAACGCGGCCTTGCGCGTGGGCGGCATGGACTACTCGGGCGGCACTCAGCCGCAGGGAGCGTCGGGATGGGACAACGTCACCGTCGCCCCGCCGCCACACCCACACCCACACCCGCCGCCCGATGCACACGCATCTCAGGACTCGGGAGTGGAGCATGGTGGCCATCATGGAGCTCATGGTGGTCATCCGCATGAGCAACAGAAGCAGACTGACGACGGGTCGTCGTACGGACAGACGGCGCTATATTTCGACTCGACTGCCATTGCTCCGCCACCGGGGTGGGTGAGAGGCAGAGAGAGGGAGGGATGGGGAGACATCCATCGATGTGTGTCTGTGCTGTGTGTGTGTGGGTGATCTTGTGTGCATATAGGATGGAGGGCGAGCCGGTCAATGTGACTGTGAATGTTGGTGTTGGTGTGGGCGGCGTGACTGGCGACTTTGGGCAGATGGGAAGCATGGGCGACGTGCTGCTGCACACCACTGCTACCAAGCAGACGGACGCCGGCTTCGGGGCGGGAGGACTCAACAACGGTGATGAGTGAAACCAGAGCCACATCCCTCCCATCCATGCCTGTGTGAGTGTGTATGTGTATGTGTCTGTGTCTGTTTGTGTGTGTGACGGTGTGGGTGCAGTTGACATGAGCGGCGGTCCAATGTCGATGGAGCAGCTGTGCCACCAGACGCAGACCTTCATCGACAGCCAGCAGGCGCAGCAGGCGTCACAGCAGGCCCAGGCCTCTCAACACGACAACACGCAGCCCCCACCTCCCCCGCCACCACCACCACCGCCGCCACCCCCACCTCCACCACCTATTGGTCAGCCCAGCCGCCTCACACACACACAAGCATGCATCCATCCATCCAAGTGGCTTGGTGGTTTGTGTGCAGACAGCGTGTCGTCAGTGGGAGTGGGGGGGCAGCGATACCTCCCGCCCCAGCCACACGACTGTGCCTCTTCGTCGGTGGAGCTGATGGAGGTGCAGCGCAAGCTCGACGCTGTGCTGAGGGAAAACTCTAACCTGCAGAGACAAGTAAGAGGCCCCTCCTCGCTCGAAGACACACACAGGCATTGTGTTGCTGTGGTGTCTTTGTGTGTGTGTGTGTGTGTAGGTGGAGGAGTATGAGGTTGAGCTGCAGCACGTCCGCATGTCCAATGACGGGGGCGACTGGGGCGGGTACGGGTCGAGGGAGAATGACCGCAACCTATACGACGAGATCGCACACTGGAGACAGAAACACTACGAAGTGAGCTGAGCTGAGCTGTGGGATGAGCGTGGGGCGAGTGGCGACTGGCCAGGGAGTGCATTCGTGTGTGTGTGTGTGTGTGTGTCTGCGCAGATAGAGAAGGAGAAGAAGGATCTGGAGCGGGAGCACCGCACCACAGTCCAACAACTCACCCACCTGCTCGGTACGCTCACACACACACACACACACATGCACACCCATTGCGATATATCGGCCCCAGAGCTGTCATCGGCCCCTGACGGCGCCGCACCACAGCAACAACAGCACCAACAGCAGCAGCAGCAACAGCAGCAGCTAGGCCACCCGTCCCCCCCAGCCACGCTGGCCACACCCATCGGACGCGTCCAAGCCGGCAACAGACAAGGCAACGAAGGTATTCATGCTGATGTGTGTGTGTGAATGCTCTCATTCTCGTGTCGTGGTGTGGCTCAGATGTTGGCGATGCGGCGTTGTCTCGGGAGTACGCCCAGATCCAGCAGTGGTACGCCGAGCTGGCCAGGAAGTTCCAAAGGGCGCAGCAGCAGATCGCCGACAAGAACAGGTGGGGACCTTCACCCCTCCCTCCCTCCCCAACCTCACGCAGAGAAAGAATGTGTGTGCCTGTGTGTGTGGGGGGGTGGGTGGGTGCAGGGAGCTGCAGACGTTGCGCGACGACATGAGTATGGTGGAGGAGCAGAACCGGCAGCTGTCGGAGCAGTACAAGGAGTCGTTCAACTCGCTGGAAGACGTCAGGAGCCAGCTCGTGGCTAAGGTACGCACGAGAGCGAGCCGTCCAGCCCACACACACCCACACCCAAACATCCACCGCACACACACAGTCTGCATGTCTCTCTCTCTCTCTCGGGCGTGTGTGTGTGTGTAGGAGTTGGAGTACATGAAGCTGCAGCGAAAGCTCTACGACAAGAACGGTGAGATGCAGCAGATGAGGGAGCAAATCGTGCAGAGGGAACAGCAGATCGAACACGTCAGACAAGGTATGGTAATCTAACCCCCAGCCCACCCAAATCCAGACACACAGAGAGAGAGGGAGAGAGAGATGCCTGTCATTACACAGAGATGGCCGAGACCACCCAGAAGTTCGCTGCCTCATACTCGCAGAGACGAGTAGAGGTATGCAAGAGTCCAAACACACACACACACACACACACGTGTGTGTCATTCTCCCTTCTGCTGCAGGATTTGGAGGCCTACATCCGGCAGCAGGCCCTCTCGCACCTCGAGACGCAGGCAGAGTGGTCACGACAGATCGGAGAGATCAAATCGCAGGCAGAGAGAAAACTCGAAAAGGTCCGCCCCACCCTCCACCACCATCCCCGTCAACACACCTCACTCACACACGCCCACATGTGTGTCTGTGTCTATGTGAAGGTGAAGCGGGAGAAGGAGGAGTGCGAGCGCCTTGCGGCCACCGACCGGGCCAGTCTCACGCAGCAGATCAACCAGGCCAAGGCTGAGCACCCTCAGCAAGACCAGCACCAGCTCACATCCACGACACACAAGCACCAGCCCCACCAGACCACGGCTGCAACATCTGCCGCAGACCAGCAGCAGACGACGAGCTCCAAAACTGCGACTGCTTCACCCGCTGCTGCACCCGCTGCAGCTGCTGCAAGCGCCTCAGAGCAGCAGCAACAGCAGCAACAGCATCAGGAAGGAGGCGACACAGGTAAGCCGCCCTCTCCCCTCTGCCCTCTCCCCACACCACAATGGTGTGTGTGTGCCTTGCCTATAGGTGCGTCGCGTGAGGCGGCAGCCGAGTTGTGGGCGGCTCAGCTGACGCAGGACGAGTACAAGAGGGTCTACACCCGGTGGCAGGAGGCCGAGGAGCGCATCGTCACACTCGAGAACTACGTCAAAGCCATGGGCAGGGACAGACCACCACAGCCAGCAGCACCCGCAAAGCCGTCAGAGGGTGACGGGAGTGAGGGAGAGGGCGAGAGTGCCACTGCGAGTGCCGGTGCCGCAGCAGCGCCGAAAGGGAGACGGCGAAGGAGACGGCGGCATGGCGATGGCGGTGCCAGTGGTTCTGGTGGTGGTGCGGCTGGTGGTAGTGCGGCAGGTGCTGGTGTGTGCGCCGAGACTCAGACGGAGGCAGAGGGCCTGGAAGAAGAAAACAAGAAGCTCCGGTGCGTACCTTCACCACAGCCACGTCATCTCTCTCTCTACCTCTCTCTCTCTCTCTCTGATCTCTGTCTGTCTGTCTGTCTGAGTGTTTCAGGGACCTGGTGCTCTCTGGCGTGTCTGAGACGCTGGACCACCAGTCCACCCACGCCGCACAGATCACCTCTCTCCAGACCAAGATGGCCTCGCTCGACCACGCGTGCCAGACCGCCCTCTCCCTCCTCAACGACGCCATACGAACCGCAAAGGCCACTCAGGCACAGCAGCAGCAGCAGCAGCAGCAAGAAGACACCGAGCAGGACGGCACACAAGAGCTGCAGCAGCAGCAGGAGCATCAGGATGAAGTGAAGAAACTGAGCGCGTCGCCCCTTGCCCTCCCGGCATTTTATCACCGAGATGGTGGCGGTGCTGCTGGTGCCGCCGGTGGTGGTGGTGGTGGGGCTGTCGGGCTGAAGGGAGACGTGACCGTGCCAGCGCGGCTGCTCAAGGACCTGCAAGACACCCTGCAGGGTCGTGCTGAGTCTTCGGCACTGAGCCCCTCTGCCACCCCTTTGTGTCGGTCGCCGTCGATCGTGCAGCAGCAGCAGCAGCAGACACTCACCCCATCGGCAGCGAGGAGCGCTTCAGAGAATGGGGGCGTCCCATCTGCCGTCCTGGCCGTTGCCAGCGCTGGTATGGGCTCACACACACACAGAGGGAGAGAGGGAGAGAGGTCCACACCTCCACAGACATACACACAAAAGTGGGACACACACGTGTGTTTGTGGCTGTGTGTGTGTGTGGGTATAGGCATGAGCACCCCTGGTGGCAGCGGTGTGCCGTCTCATGTGGATGCGCAGCAACGGCGGAAGGCGCAGCGGCTCGCGGAGACCGCCGAACAGACCAAGAAAACCGTCAACGAGTCCGCCAAGAAGGTCGGCAGACACACACTGACACACACAGCCGCCCATCCACCCTCTCTCTCTCTCTGTGTGTGTGTGTGTGTGTGTGTCAGGCCGACGAGCAGCTCTCCCGCTCTCTCAGCTCCATCCAAGCCACCTGGGCCAAACTCGGTCTCGGCAATCTCGCGCCTACACCCTCGCCAACACAGACACAGACACCGACACCGACACAGCAGCAAGAAGCCAACGGCAGCACAAGCAGCAAGGAGCAACAGCAGCAGCAACAATCCGGAGGCGGCGGCGGTGGAGTGTTCCTGACGATGCAGTCCCAGCAGGAGCTGGTGGAGTGCGTCAGGGGCGTGTTCGGGTGTGTGGTGGAGGGGCGGGGTGAGCTCAAGAGCGTGCCGGAGAAGCTGGGGGGACTGGTGGAAGCGGCCGTCAAGATCAGGTAGGTGCCCCCCCCCCCCTCCCCCACACACGCGCACACAGATGAGACGAAGCCAGAATGGCCCGCTGCCTGTGTGTGTCTGTGTGTGTTCGACAGCCAAGAGCTGCCAGGTTTTGTGCCGGGCTCTCTGTTGACCCGCGCGCAGGCCACGTCGAAGGTCAACGAGCAGAGGCGCGCCTACCAGGTCAGCACACACACACCGAGCAAACGTGGCTGCAGATCTTTCTCTCTAATTGTGTGCCCCCCTTGTCGCAGGTGGATCTGTTGCAGCGGCAGCTCAAGACGCTCACCCAGCGCCTCACCGAAGCCCAGCACAAGGCGTGGCAGGCCCAGCGAATGATCCGCTCCTCCACCCCGCCGCCATCCCTCTCCGCCAGCCAGTCGCCCAAACACCACAGCCACCACCACCAGCACCACCACACACAGCAGCAGCAGCAGCAGCAACAACCAGAAGAGCAAGAAGACCCTCCCCTCCACCAGCTGCACCGCTCCGAGAGCATGACGCAGCTGCCATCAAAGCCCCGAGAGAGCATGATTGCCCTGGGGATGGGCAGCGAGTTTGTGAGGGAGCGGCGGGAGCGGCTTCATGGTGAGGCGAGAAGGGGCGAGGAGGGAGCCAAGGCGCTGGTGGACAGGATTGTGGAGCTGGAGGACGAGCTGCGGTCCTACCAGGTGCGTGGCTATCTTCGGTGTGTCCTCCTTGTGTGCAGTGCATTGTCTCTTTCTGTGTGTGGCCCATGTTCGAACGGACAGGACGATCGTGAGATGATGCGTCGTGAGTCGGGTGTGCTGGAGGGCTTCCAGCGGCAGCTCGTCGACGCCAAACTCAGGTCGGTGCGATGGCCGGCACACACATACACACACACACACACACAGAGGCATCCATAAGCTTTGGCTGCCTCACTATCGCTGTGTGTGTGCAGGGAGTGGGACGCCCGGTTGGCCGAGAAGGCGGCGCTGGAGCGATTGGGCAAGAGAAGTAAGACCATTGCATCCACGTGCTGCCGTTCTTGTAGGCTTGTCTGTTGGTTGCAGGCGAAGAAGGTCCCTCCACAGCCACAGTCACGGTCACGGCGTCACTCTCTCCTCCCCGCGCCGCCCCACCGCCCGCCCCAGCCCCTGCAAGCACAGCACCACGATCAGCATCACCTCCGGCACACACAGAGGATATCCAGCAGCAGCAGCAGCAGCAACAGCAACAGGGTGGTTTGAGTGCTGACAAGGTGGTGGTTCCTACACCATCTTCACCACCTGCAGCAGGAGCAGCAGCAGCGGCAGCAGTGCCGTTCAAGGGCCTGCTTGCTGCCGGCACCCAGGGCAGCAACGATAGCACTACACCAGCACCAGCAGCCGCTGCCACAGCAGCAACTGCGTCAGCTGCAGGTGTTCCATTGCCATTTCCGGCGTACCATCCCACAGCGGCCGCGGCCGCGGCCGCCATGATGGCCAGCCCCCTGCAGCAGCAGATGGCCATGGCCAACTTGGCCAACATGAACACGATGAACCCGCAGCTGGTCAACGCCCTGGTGGCGCCATGGCAGCTCATGGCCCTCAACAACTACAGCATCGCGACGATGGCATACCAGCAGGCACAGGCACAGCAGACTACGGCGGCCGGCGCCCCACCATTGCCCCAGACACACCAGCAGCAGACACAGCAGCAGGCGGAGAGCAGCGGCGGTGACCAAGGCCAGCAGCAGCAGCAGGACGAGACAGAGGGGGGCAAGGGTTCTGATGGTGATATGTAGCGCAAAGGAGAGAGATATATTAAAATGAGAGATGGATGTGTCGTCATATTTGTGAGGGAGGAGGGTGGGAGGGAGGGAGGGGGCACCCCCCCATCCGTCCATCAAGATTTTCGTGCTTGGGAAGCGACGCGCCGATTCAAAGGCTGGTTGTCGAACTGTCGTGCTTGTGCGGAAGTAAGTAGGAGGACCAGCGAGCGATCGAGCGAATCGGCGCTTCTTTGCCGTGCCTGTCAGCCTGCTACGGTGAAGGAATGAACGAGCTTGAATGCGATGCGTGTGTGCAGTGCGTGTGGATGTGGGCACAGACAGACATCCTTCCACACAGAGAGACAAGGAAGGACATTTGTGTGGCTGGCTGACGTTGGTTATGTGGGTGGGCTTTAGTACTAC